TATACAAAAGAAGTAGGAAATATGGAAATAATTGGAAAAAAAAACGAAAAGAACAAGTAGTAATGACAAGATTGAGGATTGGACATTCCGGATTAAATAAAACTTTACATTTGATAGGAAAACATCCAACAGGTAGTTGTRAGTGTGGTAGGGATGTGGAAACAGTAGAACATGTAATAATTCATTGTGAAAAGTATGCATCAAGTAGAGTGAAGCTAAAACGAGAAATTATGAAATATGATATAGAGACATTAAAATTAAATAAGATATTATATAAACATAAAATAAATAAAGCAGTTATTAATTTTTTGAAGGAAACAGGATTATTTATGAGAATTTAGATTAAAAGGGAGATACTCTGGTCCACACTCCAGCATAGTAGATGGCGATAATACATCTTAACGTTAGATGTCACCCGCCAATAAAAACAGAAGAAGAAGAAGAAGACAGCAGGCATGTTGCTGCGTTCCAGTTGCAGCGAGGTACACTTCGCTGCAGCATGCAGAATGGGGCGGGGACGGACCTTTCCGTCAGTCCCATACCTTATATGGAAATGGGACTATTGCATTCCGGAAATGAAGGTTGCTCCTTAAAGACGCGGGAKTAAGAGAGCAAAGGAAGAAGAAAACCCTAACCCTAACCCTAACCGTTACTGTAATATAATTTTAATATCCAAAAACAACAAAGATTTAATAAAGATTTGAAAATGAAAAAGGGACATACCACGTGACATAACACGTTTTGTGGCCATTCCCTTACTGTAAAATTTGTATTTTTAATGTTGATAGTGTTCTATGGTGTTTTGAAAGGCGTTGTGAAATAAAATGCGTTAATATTATTATAATTATTATAACACGGTTGGTACGGGAAATATTAAATTTGTATTTTTAATGTTGAAAGTGTTCGATAGAAAATAGTGTCACTAGCGCCCCCTTCATGTTCGGAATGYAATMGTCCCATTTCCATATAAGGTATGGGACTGACGGAAAGGTCCGTCACCGCCCCGTTCTGCATGCTGCAGCGAAGTGTACTTGGTTGCAGCRGAACTCAAAACTGTGGAGCTGGACTGTTCCGAGTTGAGAGCATTAAAGCTCGTCAGAATGTCGGAAAAAAAGCTTTTTGAAACAATGGTCATGGCATCCAACTGTAATGCAAATTTTGAGCAAACTTTTAAAATGTTGCAAAAAATAAAATAATGAAAGAAATGAAAATCATGCATGTTTCCATCGACTGGTTTGGAGCTAATCAACCAGGCTATCTAAAGCCTAATTTTGTCAGACGTTGACGTTACAAACAGCTGTAAGAAACAGGAAGTAGAGGTTGCAAGCAGGGACCACACGTCTCAGGACGAGGGAGATTAGGTTTCAAGAATGTGTTGCTATCAGACAAGTTGTAATCATTCATATTATCAACTAGTGTCAGGGATGTTACATGCTGTCTGGAGACATTTTATGGAAATGTCCAGGAAGATGACAGCAGAAACAGCTGATCAGTCATGTGATTTAAATGTTCGCTACGTCAGAACTTATTTGGCAAATGCTTCTCTCTCTCTCCTTTTGACGCTTTTTTGGAAAATCCAAAAACCAGCTCAAGCGAGCGTAAAATTTTTGCAAAATTGACRTCTTTTTCAAATTTTGCCACTTTCATCTGCATTTTCTTCAAAATGTGCAACAAAAAATGTTAACGGAAATACAGCTAATAACAACAATAACACTTTCTGTGGTATTTTGAGTGCACAAGCAGCGTTAAAACATATCTTGAGATTAGAGGCCAGCATGAAAACCAA